ACAACACCCGACTTTGTGTGTTGGTGGTCGTCCATCCAAGCACTATCCAGGCTTAAGCCTGCCTAGCTTCCAGGGTTTGACAGGATTGGGTGCATTCCAGATGATGTTTCCATCGCAGAGTAAACAATGCCCCTCAAATAGATTTTGGTTAATTGCACAACAAGCTTTTATGGTAGCGATAGCAGTCAACGAATTAATATAATGCCGTAGAATAGGTCAATTCAATATTTATTATTCATTAACCTAAATGAGGCTCATTTTACTAAACACACATACAAATTCACCGCAGTCTCAGTCCCACATGAGCTGTTCCAGATTTAGCACGTGGGCCTACGCTCACATTGATTATCCAGTAAGCGATGCCACAACTCTGCCACTAATGTCCGTGTGTGCATTGGTCCATGTGTGGGTGTTTATGTGTGCGTGGGGAGCGGTAGTGTAGCGGTTAGCGTGCTGCGCTATGAACCTGGCGACCCGGGTTCGATTCCCGCTCACGGCCAACACCACCGACGATTATCTGAACCGGTCCTGGGCCTCCCCTAGGTCGACTCAGCCTCAAATGAGTACCTGGTGCGTTGGATAAAAACATTGTCACTGGGGAGAATAAGGCGGTCGGGCGTGGTGCTGGCCACCCACCCCCTCGTCTACCGTTCTGGCCTTCATAGGTGCTCGCTAACAGCACTTGCCCCTACAGTCTGTTAAGGTTATATGGGGGATCTTTGTCTTTGTGGTGGCGAAAACACAGCAAGTTGGCACAGTAGGGGGCACAGTAGGGGGCACAGTAGGGGGCACAGTAGGGGGCACAGTAGGGGGCACAGTAGGGGGCACAGTAGGGGGCACAGTAGGGGGCACAGTAGGGGGCACAGTAGGGGGCACAGTAGGGGGCACAGTAGGGGGCACAGTAGGGGGCACAGTAGGGGGCACAGTAGAGGGCACAGGTGGTGCATCAGTCAGTCGATCCGTGGCACCTGGGTCTGCCCCGTGACCTCCAGCCAGCGGGCGTTCGACACTTCGCGTGCCCTCAAGGTGCACGTGGCCTGGCACAAGCGTCGTGGTGACGTCACCGCCACTTAGTGGCGAATGGCGGTTGTTGTTGTGGTTTTTGACACGGCACGGGCTCGAGAAGAGATTGAATGATGACGTACAAGAGGACACGGAGCTGAGTGGACTTGCCAATGACTGACACCAGCGGTGTCAAGATCGGCCTCTGTGGAGGAGGCTCGTGAAGGACGCTGCTACTGGGCAGTTGGAGGCAGTCGCCCTCCAGCAACAACGGAGGGCAGAGGAACGATGCTCACAAAAAACGAGAGGAGCGCCGGGCGGCTAAAACACAGCAAGTTGGCACAATGGGGGTGACAGTGGGGGTCACAGTTTGTGCATCGGCCAATCATCTCAGTCGGTCGACCGCATTGTGTCATGACCTCTTGCCAGAGAGACCTCGACACTTCTCGTGACCTCAACGTGCACATAGCCTGGCACAAGCGCTGCGGTGACAACGCCGTCACTTCATGGCGAATGTCGGATGTTGTTGTCTGTGTGCATATCGGCAGGTCTGTTAACACAGTTGCTTAACATAGGTCAAATATATGTTAGTGATAATCGTCATCTGCGATCAATCCACTACTAACCGGAACCCACAATTCTCCCCATTCCTCACAATCCCACGATGCAACAATGGACCCAGGACCTGCATGCAACTTTATTTCATCATTCCATCTCAGCAGTGGACGTACTCCCAGGCAATGTGAATTTTTGGTGAATGCTGAATTATAAAAAAAGTCGTCTCAGTCTCCTGCCACTGCATCTTTGGCACCAAAATAATATCCTGTCTGTGCACTGCATCATCGCTATTTCACACACACGTACATACCCCCCCCCCCATATACTGTACATACCGTACAAACAATGACAGAGAAATGTAATTAAAAACCATTCCACAGAGCTAAACTCCAGGTGGTGCAATGTAATCAAGCAAAGCAACATTCATCAACGCGACGTTTCAGGCAAGCAGCCAGCGGAGTGTTGTTTGTGTTGTTGTTGTTGTCCGGAGACCAGCGACAAGCTGCCGACAGATGGGTGACTAAAGATGACATTTAAAAATAAATTACAGCCCTCTTTGTCAGTCCACACATTGCCGGACGAAGGGCTCCCCCACTCCGCGCCCGTCACGGGACGATGTCTGATTGTGGGCAGTTGCAGATGGCACCTTGGGGACTGTCCCTTGGCCTCCTGTCGATGAGCCTTCGGCACTGCACGTGGCCTCAAAGTGCACCTGGCCTGGCACAAGCACCGTGGTGATGCCACGGTCACTGAGTGGCGAATGGCAGGTATTGGTAATGGTGCAGATTGGTGAAGGGGTGATGGTACCCAGACACGGTTCTGATGTATGTATGTTGAACTTCTTTCGCACCGTACGTAGCCAACCTTGCTAATCGGAGGTGCCGCTGAGGCTAGCCGTGGCCCGGAATTGAACTAGAGGGTCACCATGTTAGAGGTATTTTGGGTGAGATCGCGTGAAAATATAAATGTGTCGTTGACCCACCAACACCCGACACTGACAATTAGTAAGGTTTGTCACGTAAACAGAATATGCCAATTAGTTACGAGTTCAGCACACCGGTGTGTTGGAGGGTAAACCCACAATATTTACAATTCGTGTACAACATTTCACCGGCAATTACAACCACCCTCATCAGGCTGTCTACGTGACAAACCATACTAATGCGGGTTGTGGCGCTGATTAACGACACATTTATATATTTACGAGATCTGAGCCAAAAAAAAACCTCTATTGTGGACAATATTGGTCGCGAAAGCCGATGACTACGACTACTACGCGTTACACTCGGGGGGAGGGGGGGGTCACCATTGTGCACGACGCGGGGGGGGGGCTTGTGCGCTCCGCCGCTGCTGGCCTCGTTGCGATGGGATCTCGGACCGCGGCACGCTCACATCGAAACATCGCAAAACGTCTCGGGCATTTGACGAATTTTAACCCCCCCTCCCCCCCCCCAGTGTTGACTGCTGCGGCGACAGGCGGCGCATCTTGAGCAAACGCCGCGCGAAGGGTTTCGACACATTTATAAATAAACGCGATCTAACCCAAAAAAACCTTTATTATGAATAATATTGGTCGCGGAAGCCTACGTGTTAAACCAAAAAAAAAAGATCGTTCAATAAGAAGCGCTAACCCGTTGCTCCCCCCCCCCCACTCCCGATTCAAGATAATGAGATCACAACATTATGCCACAGGCCCGCCACCTCAATCCCCCTCCCCCCCTCCCTCCTCCTCCACACCCCAAGAGGGTGCGCATTGCTTCTGGAGGAAACTCTACATCACATTCCGCTCTCTTCCACCTTCCAAGAAAACTCGATTCTGACCGAGAACGGGGGTCCAAACCCGCGGTGGACGAGCGGGGAGGCTTTAACGGGAGCACGAGATTTAATCCTTCCACAGGGGGGGAACGTTATATCGATGGGACCCTTTTTTTGCCAATATCAAACACATGATGGTAAAAGAGTAGACGTGGCTTTAACTGCTCAAGCCGAGCTAGTAACGCTTTGATACTTGCATCGCGTTTGCCCTGCTCACCTTTTGGCGTTCTCTGGTCTAACACCGGTGGTGAGACAAGGTCGTATACAGAAGGCTGTTCTCTGATGTAGGCCAATCAGTTTTTTTTTTTAAAACAATGCGTATATTATCAAAGCGTGTTTTATGTTTGCATGTTTTGTGCCACAAGTATGTCTGGTTAATGCAGACTTGGTGTCTGTTTGGCGATTGAACATATTCACCCTCTCCCCTTCCGAGACATCTGCAAGTTGCCGATCGAATCGCCGCGGCGCGCTCATCCACGCTGCCGAGTGGACAGAGGCGGCGGGGAGACTTCATCGGAATCAGAATCCGTATTTACCCTGGGGAGATCCAATGAGCCTTGAAGCTCTTTTTCACATACGTCCGGCCGGGGTCGCGTCAGAAAGCTGTTCCAGCTGCCATGCCGGGAGATCGGACCGGCGACCTCTGGATTGCCAGTCCGTGTACGCCAACCGTTAAACCGCCATCACGAAAGATTCGATCGAAAATGCGACCGATTGACAGCCCTCACTCGGGTCGCCCCCTTTGAAAAAGAACACCCAAATGAATATGATCAAACGGCGAGAATAATTTTAAAAACCCCCACAGAACTGTGAAGCCTCGACCATTGTCAGCAAGGGCGCTTCGGGGAGCTTTCAAAGACGATTTCCTTGCAGGTACGTATCATCCAGAAACTCTCAGGAACTCTCCTTGAGGCACCGTGTACTTCGCCTACAAGGGTTTTGCCTGCAGTGTCTGCGTTGCATGCAGATCCCCTAACGGTGAGCTTGGTTGCCATGGAATCAATCTCAGCCAGATAAATACATCACCGCAGAGTAGATACCGTCGTTTGCCGAAATAGGTGTGCAAATTATGCTTTTAACTGTAAGAGAACATTTTGAATGAGTTGGCTAAGCAACAGGTAAAAAACAACAACAACAACAACAAAACATCAGCAATAAATAATTCCGTGTTCCAAAAATACAAGGTTGTTTGATGGGAGGACACGACCTGACCTGGCTAGCGGGCAAAAACAAATGAATGGGGGTGATTCGTTGAGTGATCGCCATGCAGTGATTGCTGGTTAGCGACGCACATTGACGGGTGGCTAAATGACAATCTTCCTCGAATATTTGTCCACCGTCCGTCCTCCCGCTTCCAACTCGAGCACCAGAGTGGGCACGGTCGCCTCCAGCCACACACGAGGCCGTGGTGCCGAGGCACCGTCAAGGGCACCAGAGGATCCCTTCACGAACCCCCCCCCCCCCCCTTCGTTCAGTGACTGGCGCTTGAAGAAAAAAAGGCACCAGAGATTCTGGAGAACCCAAATCCGCATCTCCCCCTGTGGCGGAGCGAAGAGTTGGTGGGGTGGGGTGGGTGGGGTGGGGTGGGTGGGGTGGGTGGGGAGGTAATTCCACGTGCCACTTACCGGCACCTTCGTGCGCTGAGGCCTCCTGCTCGGAGGAGCCGAAGAGGAACTGGTACTTGGCCTGGGCGATCTTGCGCGCCCGAGGGGACGTCGCCTCTCCCACCCACAGGAAGGTCTCCACCTGCACAGCGTCGCCATAACCACGAGTGGCCGTAATTGTTATCGTCTTGGACATCATCACCGTCATCGTCGTCGTCGTAACCTTCATCCATGTCGTCACGGCATTGTCGTTGTCATCGTCATGTCAGCTTTGTCGTCATCGTCGGCATAGTCGTCATTGTGATCATTATTTTCCATCACATCGTCACGATCATCGTTATAGGCACACTAGTACAATTGTCATTACCATCAACACTGTTGTCATTACCATTGTCATCATTACTCTCAATATGATCATTGCTATCATCACCACCACCACCACCATTATTACCACCACGGTTAACAAAATGTTTAACTTAATTCGTTCATAAAAGACATTAAGACAACATTGTAAAGAAAACTCAATGCAGCCGATTATTAATTTAGTGCAACTCTGTTATATTTTTAAGCAGCTTCTCGAAACTTTTCAAACCGCTCCTCTCATAAAAAAACAACAAATCGTTTGGTGCTGTTACATTGGCAGTGGTGCATACGCACAATTAACAACCACAACCACACATTCGTCAATGGCTTTAAAGGGGAGAAGAAAAAAACAACAACTACAGACACCTAAAATCGGTGACATTTTGGTCACTGGCCCTTCCTCTGAATGTACCTGCTGCTATGAAGACGACACGTCGCCTCTTCTATACACAGAACATATTTCCTTGTCAGACCACAATAGTCGTTAAATCGAGTTTTTCCCCCCCCCCATACATGCGGATACATAGAGAGCACACACCCACCCACCCGCTCGCACGTGCCTTTAAATCTCCACGCGTCAATTCCCCGACGACACATTCCGGAGGACGAATGTCCCCCCCCCCCCATTCCGTCGTCCGGCGCCCGAAACGAGGGCCGAGCTCGTTTCGTGCAAAGACGACTCTCACCGCCGCGGTGACGGCAAAGTGCCGAGGAGTCGCGGGCGCTCACCCACGGACTCACCGAATGCTCGGCGAACGATTTCGAATCCGGCGTTACGTGAACGGACCCGCTGAGACGCACGCGAAATCACGGCGAGGAAACGGGAGGGGTGTCAACACGCACCCGGACACGGGAGCGTAACTAGCGCGCAGGGGGGGTAATGGCGTGACCACTTCGCGTGGCTTCTGGATGGGTGTCCCACTTCGCGTAGGTGTGTGTCTGTGTGTGTGTCTGTGTGTGTGTCTGTCTTTGTGTGTATCTGTGTCTTTCTGTGCGTGTGTGTCTGACTGTGTGTGTGTCTTTCTGTGTGTGTGTGTCTGTGTGTGTGTCTGTGTGTGCCTGACTGTGTGTGTCTTTCTGTGTGTGTGTCTGTGTGTGCCTGACTGTGTGTGTCTTTCTGTGTGTGTGTGTCTGTGCGTGTGTCTGTGTGTGTGTCTGTCTTTGTGTGTATCTGTGTCTTTCTGTGCGTGTGTGTCTGACTGTGTGTGTGTCTTTCTGTGTGTGTGTGTGTCTGTGTGTGTGCGTGTGTCTGTGCGTGTGTCTGTCTTTGTGTGTATCTGTGTCTTTCTGTGCGTGTGTGTCTGACTGTGTGTGTGTCTTTCTGTGTGTGTGTGTCTGTGTGTGTCTGTGCGTGTGTGTCTGTGTGTGTGTCTGTCTTTGTGTGTATCTGTGTCTTTCTGTGCGTGTGTGTCTGACTGTGTGTGTGTCTTTCTGTGTGTGTCTTTCTGTGTGTGTGTGTCTGTGTGTGTGCGTGTGTCTGTGCGTGTGTCTGTCTTTGTGTGTATCTGTGTCTTTCTGTGCGTGTGTGTCTGACTGTGTGTGTGTCTTTCTGTGTGTGTCTGTGTGTGTGCGTGTGTCTGTGCGTGTGTCTGTCTTTGTGTGTATCTGTGTCTTTCTGTGCGTGTGTGTCTGACTGTGTGTGTGTCTTTCTGTGTGTGTGTGTGTGTCTGTGTGTCTGTGCGTGTGTCTGTGTGTGTGTCTGTCTTTGTGTGTATCTGTGTCTTTCTGTGCGTGTGTGTCTGACTGTGTGTGTCTTTCTGTGTGTGTGTGTCTGTGTGTGTGTGCGTGTGTCTGTGCGTGTGTCTGTCTTTGTGTGTATCTGTGTCTTTCTGTGCGTGTGTGTCTGACTGTGTGTATCTTTCTGTGTGTGTCTTTCTGTGTGTGTGTCTGTGTGTGCCTGACTGTGTGTGTCTTTCTGTGTGTGTGTGTGTCTGTGCGTGTGTCTGTGTGTGTGTCTGACTGTGTGTGTCTTTCTGTGTGTGTCTGTCTGTGTGTCTAACTGTGCTTGTCTGTGTGTGTCTGACTGTGTGTGTATTTCTGTGTGTGTGTTGTTCTGTGTCTGTCTTTCTGTGTGTGTCTGTGTGTGTGTCTTTCTGCGTGTCTGTGTGTGTGTCTGACTGTGTGTCTGTGTATGTGTATTTACGTGTCGTTCTGTGTCTGTATTTCTGTATGTGTCTGTGTGTGTCTGTGTGTCTTTCTGTGTGTGTCTGTGTGTGTGTCTTTCTGCGTGCGTGTGTCTGTGTGTCTGTGTGTCTTTCTGTGTGTGTCTGTGTGTGTGCCGTGCGTGGTGTTGGCCACCCACCCCCTCGTGTTCCGCGCCGGCCTTTATAGGTGCTCGCTAACAGCACTTGCCCCCACAGTCTGGTCAGGCCATACGGGTGATCTTTGTCTTTGTGTGTCTGTGTGTAGACCGCTTGTGTCGTGTATTTTTATTGGGGCGCGTGGGGGGGGTGAGACCGGTTTTTTGGGGCGGAGAACAGGAAAGGTCAGCGGAGTGCGTGATGGCGAAATGCACGGAGGGGCGTCCGTCAAAGCGAGGAGTGGCCACCGTGAACCCAAAGCGAGGAGTGGCCACCGTGAGCCCAAAGCGTGGAGTGGCCACCGTGAACCCACACCGATGAGTGGCCACCGTGAACCCACAGCCAGGAGTGGCCACCGTGAACACACAGCCAGGAGTGGCCACCGTGAACCCACAGGCAGGAGTGGCCACAAAGCGTGGAGTGGCCACCGTGAACCCAAAGCGTGGAGTGGCCACAAAGCGAGGAGTGGCCACCGTGAGCCCAAGTCGAGGAGTGGCCATCGTGAGCCCACAGCCAGGAGTGGCCACCGTGAACCCACAGCGATGAGTGGCCACCGTGAACCCACAGCCAGGAGTAGCCACCGTGAGCCCAATGCGTGGAGTGGCCACCATGAACCCACAGCGAGGAGTGGCCACAAAGCCAGGAGTAGCCACCGTGAACCCACAGCCAAGAGTGGCCACCGTGAACCCACAGCGATGAGTGGCCACCATGAACCCACAGCCAGGAGTAGCCACCGTGAACCCACAGCGAGGATTGGCCACAAAGCCAGGAGTGGCCACCGTGAACCCACAACGACCCACAACGAAGAGTGGCCACAAAGCCAGGAGTGGCCACCATGAACCCACAGTGAGGAGTAGCCACCGTGAAACCGGGGCGGCCATCGTGCGGTGATTTTTTTTTGATGTTTTTTAAATCCCAAGCGCTCGACGCCCTCTGCGCTCTTGCATTCCATTTTCAATAACAATTACGGAGTACATTTCGGCATTCGTGCTGTTGTTAGAGCGCAAGGCTATTCCACCCCCCACCCCGCGAAGGCGCCGTTTTTTTTCCCCCCGCACGCAACTGGAGTCTGCTCGTCCACCGGGTGCTGTCTGCCTTTACCCAAACTTGATTTTAAGCTTTCGTGACTGCAGGAATCCATACTCTGTGGTTCTTTCGGTAAAGTCATCACGTAGATATAAAATAAAATAAATCACGTTTCGGGCGCAACACAAGCGTCCATCATCAGGTGGGAAAGCATGGTCTGCTGCTGAGGCAGACTGTTTAAAAAGGTTTGAAATGGGTGTAGCTCAAGGGTTATAAGAAAGTGGCCGGGGCTAGTGATGTTAATGTGAGAAATTATCATGTTGCTGTAAGATAGGAGAAGAGCGGCCTCCTCGACAAGGGCACGGAAGTGGCTATGTTAATGTGAGAGGTTAGCATGTCACCTAGTTATACTTGATTTTCTTTCTCCGTGACTTTGCCTTTACCCACTTCAGTAATTTGCGAGGCATTATTTTTGTAAATCAAATTTTCGTCCGTGACTCTGGCCACACATTGGCCTACTCTCTTTCGAATAGCGTCACAGGGTCGTTGAACAGTTCAGCACAGGGGCCGACCGTTGCATATCGCACGCATGCGGAACTTCTTTCGCGCCGTACGTAGCCGACCGTGCTAATCGGAGGTGCGAATCGCACCGCTTGCGACAAGCTGCGAGCGCACCGCAGTGAACGTGCGTGGGCCGTGCGTGGCTGGCTAACGCCCCAAGCCAGGCTGCGTTTTCTCCAAGTCAGTATTTTGTTGGAAAAAAATGCGTCGAGTAATATTAATTTTAATTTCCCTTTCACAAAATCCGGTCATTCCTCGCAGCAGCAGCAGCAGCAACAGCAGCAGCTTTTGGCTGAACCGTCGAACAAAGACGGTCACCGCATCGCCGCGCTTTTCCGATGCACTTCTGAGGCCGTCTGGAACGCTCTTCCTTCCGATATTAGGAAGCCACTGGAGCTGTGCACTTTGAAATCATCATCTATATTGCAAACTGATTTCTTGAGAACTGCTTTTTGTATTTAGGTAGTCGTCCTTCCCCTCGCACCTGCCATTAACGCATGGTTGGCTATGTACGGTGCGAAAGAAGTTCAACACACGTACATACGTATATAACTGGACCAAAGAATGCACTGTAAAGCCACGCTTGCAAATTCCATAACACTGAACTTGGCATCTCGGTGAATGTAAACAGTCTACCGCATAATTTCATTGAGATGTGTTCAGGACTGAACGGCACCAGACGCGTGACTATGCCAGCACAGACAAGCCTTCATCGAGTAGTTAATAGAGCATGGCTCAGGGTGAGTAGACAAACGTGCAAAACGACCAATTGCTCAAATCTACAATTTTAAGCCATTTCGCTTCAAGGCATGGCTCAAATTCCAACGCCGATGTCCCCGTGAGTAAAGACCACTTTCGGAAATGTCTCTTTATACCCCCATCATCCATACGG